TACAACGTRTTATTATTGGCGWTGAGTTTTAGATCTATGCTTTCGACTCGAAGACTGACGATCAATCGGACGAAAATGGAGGCAAAGGTGAGCCGAAGCCAAATAAATGTCAAAGCAGGTAAAAAACATGATTGTGTTAACAGTTTCTCCGATTATCGAGGTGTGGTGCACTACAAATTCTTTCTGACACGCTAACCTGCAACAAGGGATACTATTTTAGTGCTATGCGTCGTTTGTGTGAAGTTATTCGTAAAAAGAGGCCGGAGTTATCGGACATTTTTGCGCCACGATAATACACCGTCGTATACTGAATTGATTCGTCATGCCGGAACGACCGGACTCGACTTATTTAGCTCGGTGTGTTTTTTAATAACCGTTTGGAGTCAGTTAAAGACATTAAATGTGAATCGCTACGGTCATTTAAGGCTATACCGGTAATTGACTTCAACGGCTATTTTGAGAATGGGTAAAAACGTTGGCACAAGTGTAGGGATTTCTTTCTTAGTACACAAACTAAGCATTCTTTGAAAATGCCAAATGAACCGAACTCCTTAAACAATTTCGTCTGCCGGCAGCAAATAACATGAAACAGAATTTTTTGTYTTTCATTTTAAAAATGTAATATTTTTATTTATCAACTCATTATTGTATCCATTATATCCCATTATGCTCATAGTCAATCATCATATTTAATAATTGTAATAATCATATTCATAGTTGTATGTATGTATGTATAATGCTTTTCATTTTTGTATTTGTATTTGTATTTGTAATTTGTGTTAAGTATACATGCATTTTGTATAATATTTATTTATGTAGTCACATTCAACACATACATATTTAATAGTACACAATAGTATATATCATTTTTTCATAAATAATGTTTTTTTGCGGTTTCACTTAACTTGCTTCTTATGATAAATATTTGCTTTTGGGAACAACTGCTCGGGGGTGTCGTGGGCATGATTTTGTGAAATTTTATGAGTTCTCGTGATTTTTTTCTTGCAATTGGCGAGTTTTTGTTCAGGGTATGGTTTATAAGGGGTGCAGGTGTGTGTGTGTGTGTACTTTAGGAGTATGGGTGGCTTTGTTATATCTTTCACATAATATGTGAGCAAATATTTGTATATATGTATGTRTGTGTGTTTTTCTGATATATGATATATGCACGTCGGTGTTATAGGATGATATATATGWATATGTACGCGTGTATATGCATGTATATATGATTGCATAACGGTAAATGCAGCTTTTCTTCTTTAATTATGTCTCTTGTAGGCTTCTTATTTTTATTTAGTGCATTTGTTTTTGTATTTRCGTTAGCTTGTTGGTGCGTTTTTGTCACATTTGCCTATAAACTTTCATATTGATTAACTACAGTTAACTGTAATTATTTATTGGTAAATTTTTAATTTTCTTTTTATTTTGTAAATAAGTGTAATTGTGCTAATAACTTTGCTTGCTTGTTTGTTGTGTTTGTTCCAATATCTAAATTTAAATGYTTGCTTGTTTGTATGTATATTTAAGTTAATGATGTGTTGTTGTATGATAATGCTTTGTTGCCTAACGATTTGTGGATTATACAAGAACAACATGACAATGCCTGATGTATGTAAGTATATAGCTWATACAGTTGTGTGCATTAATATGCGGTTAGTTTTCTTCTGGAATTTTTAGCGACTGAATAGCGTGCAAATACATTTGGAAATTTTTTATATTTTCCTTGCTTATACTATACTATACTATATAATATAATGTATTTGTATAATATTAATAAAATTTTTTGCATAAACGTTTCCATCAAAACATGTCACATTTAAGGGAAAAAGTGAGGTTAGAGTCGATTTGAGGAAGAAAACATTTAATTAGGGTATTTTGAATTTTTTCTATAACTGGATTTCAAGTTAAATGGTTAAATTTGTAACAACACAATTTTTTTTGCTATTTTTATRTATGCTTAAGCTATTTTAAGAACTATGCATGTATTTTTGACTAACTGTACTTAAGGTTCTTATATATAAATATTTATTTAATAAAATTTCTGCTATTAGCTTTAAACACAACCAAATAATTTATGTGTGTGTATTTGTGTGAGTGCTTGCTTAACAAACATTGCATAACATTAAACACATTTATTTTCTAATTTATTAATTATAATGTACTCATTGCAGTTTTTATTATTTTTTACTATTTTTAGAAAAATTATTTAAATTAATGATTTTTAAGAAAATATAATAGAAAGTCAAAAGGCTTATGAAAACACAAAGTGAAGACGTGAAGCTTTCTCATCATAATACGAAGGCTTTGACTTTCACTAAAGCAGGCGTAAGCTTTATTTTTAAAGAAAAATAATAAGAAATAATGAAWTATTTGAAAGCACAAATAAAGACGTGAAATTTTGTTAAAGCATCCGATTGAGTTCTTTCTATGCGTAATAATAGACTTATACTATCACCTTGCCACAACCATCGATTAACTTTCGAATTCTGTAGAAAGCTTTCACTCTTGAAGTGTTTTGCGAAAGTTTGCTAGTAAAGCTTTCATTTTCCAAAATGTTTTTAAAATAATATTATTCAATGACTTTTTACTTACAAAAGCTGTTTCATCTTAATACGAAGGCTTTTTCCCTAAAGTAGGCGAAAGCTTCTAATATCATTCTGTTAACTTTTAACAGATTTCATTAGCGTCTTTAATACAAAATTTTTTGAATTAAGTGCACTAAGACATTTTGAATGGGTTTTCAACTTTTTCAGAGCTTTTACAAAAGCTTACTAATAATGCTTTCTGAATTCGTGAGCAAAATATTTCGGGATCTTTTATGAAAGCTTACCTAAAATGCTTTCAGAAATCGCGTTTAAATTATTTTAGAATCTTTTATGATGGCTTTCTTACAYTCCTTTTCAAAATTGTTCGTCAACTATTTTAGAAGATTTTTTGAAAGCTTACTTATAAAACTTTTCGAAATCATGGGTAAACTATTTCGGGAAAGTTTATGAAAGCTTATTTATAATGCCTTCCGAAATCGCTTGTATATTATTTTTAAAACTTTTGTGCAAGCTAAATAACAACACTTTCCAAATTGTTCGTAAACTATTTTAGAAGATTTAATGGAATGGAATGGCTCCATTATTTTAGAAGCTATTATTTACACCCCGATTCAAAATTGTTTGTTAACTATTTTAAAAGCTCTTATGATAGCGTACTTCTAATGATTTAGGAAATCCTTCGTCAARCATTTTGGAAGCTTTTATGTAAGCTTATTTATAATGCTTAACGAACTCGTTTGAAAACGGCTTTAGAGCTTTTATAAAAGTTTTATAGTAATGCAAATAAAAAAAAATCTAATTTGTGCTTCCATTTTCAAATAATGATTTTTACAAAAAAGCTGAATAAGCTTAATATGTTCATTAATTTTTATATTTTGTTTATTATTGATTTTTTTATGCTTTTAAATGTTTKTAATGTTCGTTGTGGCTTGTTGCGATTTTTATTTTTTCCTTTTATTGTTTGAATCTGTTGAAATCAAAGGGAGAGTGTTTGCATGCAAAGCAATGTTCTACAAAATTTAATTTTAATATTTGTATATGTAAGTGCTGTGTAGACAAAATAAATGATGTCAAATTMTTATTTTTTTTATATTTTGTACARCATTTCGGCAATTCGTATTTTTATCGTATTTTTGCTTACATATTTTTAAAATTTTTGTTTTCCTTCTTGGTTGTAACCGATTTTAGTTTTACTTCACACCAAATAGTTTCTTAATCATTGAGTATTAGAGTTAACAGTAATTTATAGTTTTATATTTATTAGGAAATAAATTTATATAATTTATTACCCCTTTTATAATAAGTGTTTGTTTAATATTTTTTTTATAATTTTTTGTTTGCTTTATATTGTCTTGTGTACTTATACAAATAATCAGCGTCATTTGTGTTGTTGTTGTTTAGTGTCTCATGTTGGAATAACAAATTTATATTTTGTTATCTTATAATTTTATTTGTTTACCTTTTATATTTTTTTTTTGACTTCTTAAATTTTTTAATAGTTTCGGTTAGCATGTTTGTTCCATAGTAAGTAAGTYCTTTCTGTATAATGAGTGTTAATATTTTTTCAGCTTTTAATAGATTTCAATGATCTTCAGCGAATTGCCGTTTAACATTTCATAGTTGAATAATTTTCTCAATTTTTAATATTTATTTTCAGTTTTTGTTTTATGTTCCCATATTAGATTTCCTTAGTATATAGATATATATATATATATGTTAAGTAGTAATGCAATACAATATTTTTCCAAAAATTTCAATACCAACACATACGCCTCACATTTGTATAATTTATAAATTGCTTTGCTTTGAATTAATATTTTTTGCAGATTTCGGGTAGTGTAACCTCACTTTATTTATGCTTTCTGCAATAATTTGTTTCCTTAGCAACTSTTTAGCTTTCATTTCTTTCTCATATGCCTAGTGTCAATATTATTGTAATGTGTTTGTATTTGTATACAGTACTCGTATAATGATTTGTATGCATTTCTGTTTTTGTTTTAAGTATTTAATGTTGAGTATATAGGTGGTAGTTGTACGTGTTATTTAAGTAACTACTTTTAAAATATGATTTTCGAAATTTCGTTTATGTATAGATGAAGTATGCTACTTTTAATGGTTGATAATCAAGCGTTTAAATATTAGCGATTAAGAGTTTGTAAATAAAAGTATTTCAACGTCAAGTAGTTTTAATATTTTGCTAATAGCATTTGGTTTAATAGACGAAAAAGATTTTGAGATACGGTTTTACTACGAAAATTATCACTAGTGTTTCCAAATTGTTAAAACTAAAATATAAGTTATCAACAAAATTATTCCGAATGAATACCAACAATTTTRAGAATGATGTTATGATTTTAATAGAGTTGATTTTCGTAAGTTTTTATATTTGAAAAATTTCAATGTTTTGTAAAATAAAAAAAAAATTAAAATATTATATTTATTCACGATTAGAGATTTATATGTGTGTTGTTTCGTTATATAAAATACGAATAATAACAGAAATGATTTTGAAAACCTTTAAGTTATATAATTATTTATCGTAATAATATAATAATTTTTGACTAAAACCACAATCTGCGACAAAACATACTGGACTTGATAACAGTGGATCGAGTCGACGAAGAGTAAGGGTGGAGGGAAAGTCTTCTGTCAGAGCGCTATATAGGCCTAGAGGTCGCTGACAGTGCACCCGGCACTTTGCTAGTCCACAAGTGCCTGAAGTCACTAGCAATATCATCCAGCTACCTCTATATTTAACTTGCCGCGGTGGCTGACCACAGCGGAATCGTTGAAAGGCCGATATTCATCGATTTGCTTTTGAATTCTTTAGAGCTTCCATTCTTTAAGTAGTATGTGATAGGGTGCCYTAACTGTAAACTATTCCATCGGCCCTATCACGGTGAGCCCAAGGCTTTAGTGGGACGACACTTGTTAAAGTTGGAATGAAGAGGATGAGGTCGCAATATCCAGACACTTTCAACTCTACAGTCCAGCTTTCGTCAGACTAATGTGCGAACCCGCCGAATTGGCTGGAATTGATAATAGTCCTCCTCAATAAATTTGTGTCAGATGACGGTTTTTTTTTTTTAATTCAGTAAGAGCTCTGAGCATTACAACGGAAAAGCGTCTCTATCTGTCCAAGTAAGATTATTCTTTGATCTAAAGAGGCCAACCCTCTAACTCAATTACACTAACTAATGCATAATATGTATACAATCTCTTCCTCCTCTTCATCCTCTTGAAGTCCCACTTTCAACTTTGCGTCTACAAACTAAGTCCTTAATGCAAGTTGTTAAAACATTTCATATGACAGTTGAAAGATCCCCCTTTTGATGCCAACTATGTTGCTTACTTGATAAAAATGAATGGCTTTTAAAAACGAATCCGTTCTAGAAAAATGTGAAGTTCAAAAATTGTTCATACGAAAGTCTTGCGTCTCATTTATTGGGCTCACAGTTCCTACTTGTAAATGAAAGTTTTACTATTTCATTTGGTTTAACGTTCAAAAAATCTTAGGCTAGGCGCATAGTGGCGGGAGGAATGTGCCTCCATATATACGAATGACAGAAACATATTTTTTGTTGCATAGTTACATCTAATACTTTATATTCTACTAATTGTTCCTAGCACCCACGCTGAATGCCTCTTAAAACTTGCTTACTTTTATTTTACAAAGCCTTATCACACTCTTTGAACTTTCAAGTGTTCTGTACCTTTTAGACGTCTTCACAAGCTTTTGATGTATTTGAAAACTTTATAAAGTTCTGTAAGCCTTGCTGTGCTCTGTAAGCTGCCTACTTCTCTCACCTTGACGCTCTTTAACGCTCAACCCTGTAACACAAACTCTCCTCACTACCGCACAGATCAAGCTGTCAGATTGAATTCAACTACGTGGATAGCCTTAGATAGACCATAACGAAATATGATGAACAAATTAAAGAGTCCGTGACACAGATTGTGTCATTTGTGGCATACTATTTCAATTCCCATACTATTCTCAATTGTTGCCTTTACTACGGCTTTTACTTTAACGTTTCGGTACTTTTTCAAAAYATTTCCGGATCATTCTACGAACAGAAGTTATTCATAAAATATTTAAAGCCAACTTCATATTTTCTAATACACTTTTAAGTTCCGTTTTCTCATATAATTTTAAGAATTCTTAAAACTAGTTCAATATGTTTTGACGTAAAATTACTTTGACCAAAGACAACAAATAAAAAAAATAAAAAATAAGTAAAAAAAAAATTTAAAATTTAATTCAACTTTCCATCTACGCTTGTTTCTATGAAGAATTCTTTCCACTATGAAACCAGGAAACTTCAGAGGCGAAAGATGCGCATGTGTATGTATTGTTTACTTTTCATATATATTTCTGCTCCGTTTCTTCATTTTMTTTTACTTTTCTAAGTTCAAATTTGTATTTTCTAATGTCTGGCGTTCGTACATATCCACATATATGTACATAATTTATATATTCAAATATGTATATATACACCAGCCATTTAACGAACTTTAATTTTGCTAAGATTCACTACCCTGTCCTACTTCAAATCCAATTCATCATCCTCTTCGACCGGCGGCTTATTCCAGCGATTCGTATTGCCAAACGAATTAATGCTGCTGACGCTGCCCGTCTTCGGCGAGTCACTAAAATCGCTAAATGCCGCATTTTGTATGCCCTCGTAGTTGCGGTACGAATTGTAGCTGTCATTGCCGTCGTTGCTGCGCTCGGATGTGACGCTCATGCTCTTGGAGGCGCCAAAGCGATCGGCCTTGTAATTGGTCGGTGGACCGCCGAAGATGAGTTCAGCATCGGAGAGTGAACCGCTGGCGCGTGTGTACTTGCCATTATTACCATAGCTGGGCTTAGCGTTGTTGGTGTCGCCGAAGATTATGTCCAAGTCGGATTGTTTGTTGGAAGCTGWAAGTAGTGGATAACTTATTAAACTTTACTCAATATGTATTTATAAAATTATGAATACAAGTTCTTTATGCGGTGCGTTTACAAAAATACTGTTGCTGTAGTTTACGAAAATTTCAAATTAGCAATACTTTGGCGCCAAATTGGAAATTCAATGCATAGACACTGAGTAATGAGTATGAGTGATAKGGATGAGTTATCAAAATATTGTGATGATTGTGCAATATTATTTATGCCAATAGTTTTAAATATGATCTATAATGAAATGCAAGTGATTTGATACTTTGATAATGAATAATGAAATGAATGCAATGCYGATGCGTCCTACTCCTGCTATTTGTTCAACAAGTGTTGAAGTCAAATGTAAATTTTTTACGGGTATTGAATAACGCATACACATCTACATTAGGGTGATTCAAAAAACATTTTTTTTTCGTTTGGTACTCTGAAAAATAGGTTCCTAGACACCTCTAAGGAAGCCTCTCCAAGAATGAGTTCTTAATTGTAACGGGAAGGTCCTCCTACTTACAATTTTCTATTTTTTCTTATTATCATATAGAAAATTTTATATCTCTCTTCCAACTACTTGAAAAAATATCTTGTTTCTTAGATTTTGTAGGAAATTGAATGCTCTACAAAAAAGGTTTCTACGATTTTTTCGTAAACCCAACCGTTTAAAAGATATTAACGGTTGAAATTTGATTATTTTTGGGAAAATTTTTTATTTCTTATGAATTTTATAACTCAATGAAATAAAATCATAATTGCCCACTTTTAGATGAAATCACATATCTCGAGATCCACCAGAAAGACTTCAGCAAAATTTGTTACGTGACATTCCTCTGACATTTTTGTGTTACAATACGAAAACTACTTCTACTACTTCTCATATAACACAATTCTAAAGTCCATTTTGAACTTCCACTTTTCAGTATATAAATCAAGAATGAATATATATATCAGGATAGAGCTTTGCACGAATAGTCCCTATGAGTTGTGCCACTTTATGTCTAAAAATTGCGAGCCCCTAAGTAATGAATATGTGGACCCAGTGTTAAGAGTAATTTTTTTTTTTCGAAAATATCGATCAACATATGAGTTATATATTAYAATTGAAATTTAGAGAGATAATAMGACGTYTGTGTGCTACAACTGTATTAAGCCTGGTCAATACTTCCCTTAGCCMCCMAAWWMYTYCSAA